TATCCTAGCTGCCTTTATTATCTCAGGAGGCTGCTGTGAATGGCAGCACTTTCTGGCCTCCTGCTGAGGTTGTGCCACTGTGGAGGGGAGGAGGCAGATTTGCTGGAGAGGGAAAGTAAGAACAGATGTAAGTGCAAGCTTTGGTAACCCAGCAGGCAGGGCTATCACCTGGGGAGGTGTAATCCTGAGCTCTGGTTCTGAAGAAAAATATGCAGAGATGTGAGGAAGGTCTCATTTATGTGCAGCTTAAAGTGCATTTTACTATGACATATTGGACTTTTTCACTTCCCCATGGTAGTAAATTGTGCTTTTCATGGCAATAGATGTAATTGCTTTGCACTAAATTATATTAACTATTTCAGGTGGTTTGTTCTGCTTCATGCTTGGAATGACAGAGCTGAATTACTTTCTACAGTATGTAGTTCAAAAGAGAAGATTCCTAGTTATTGGGGGGGGGAAAAATGGTGTTTTTTCAACTGCAAAAAAAAATGTTAAGACAGTGGCAAATTTTAAAGTATTAGCATTTATTCTTTTCTTATGATTTTTAATACTGGTTGGGGATGGATGTAAGCTTAGTGATTTTTGCAAATGAAAGAAGCTGTTATTCACAGCTAATTTTTATGAAACTAGGTTGTACTCAGTCTGCACAGCAGCCCATGAACTGGGGCTAGCATCATTGCACCTGACAGAGAAATGGGTGGGTTAATTTTTAAGTACCCAAAGAGAAGAGGTTGTTTTCCTTTTCTGTCTTCTGAGAGCTGGACTTTGTTGTTCATAAGCAGCCTTATTTAATGATTCAGGTGCAGCTTTTGTGCATCCAAAGGGGGAACTTTACTTGATAGTGTCAAAAGTAGAGCAAGTAGAGCTTGTTCTGTGTCTCTGCCATCTGTGAAATTCCCATTGCATGAAGTACTTATTGCCTACCCAGCACAAAGGATTTTAAAGCATGTAAATCCCTCCTTGTTCTATGCAAAATTGTGATGGAATTCAAAAGAATGGTTTAGCAACAATTAAAAGACCCACAAGAGAAGAGCTAAGCTAAGGACAAAGAATATTAAGCAAAGCAGGGAGGGAGGAGGAGAGGGAGGGAGAGGTAGAGGTAGAAAGGCTGAACAGTTGGAGGGTGGGGGCATGAGGACAGATTGGAAACTGCAGATAGAATGTGAGGTCTGAAAGGGGGGCATACATGATGACACTGAGGGACGTAAAGGTTGGCAAGCTAAGGGATGTAGGGAGGGTGTCTTTGCCTGGAAAATTGGCCAATGCCTGTACCTTTGGTTGAGAATTAGAGGTCCCTCTCAGATATCAATACTGAGCATTTGGAGGTGTGTTACTGGGGCAGGAAGTAGGATGGAAACGCTGATATGAGCTGGGTCAAAAGGCACTGTCAGGTAAGACATTTCCTGGTGAAGCAGGTAAGTTGATAGAGTTTGTTACATGCATAAAGTTACTCAAAATTAATAGAGAAAGATCACAACTGGAAAGAAGGACCTTAAAAGGTTATGGTCTCATATTTTAATTTCTTGACCAGAATATTTAAATTTTATCAGTTTTCATAGTTATTTTGTTGTAATCTGTGCTCTTATCCACTCACTTAGACATTAGGTGTACTCTAAGGAAAGGCTGAGACAGTTACATCTCAAAGTTTTGACCAATGTGGGGAACACAGAAAGGTGAAACTTCATGAAATAAATGAGATCAAGGTAAAATACAGCTGGAAAGAAAAGAGGAGAAAGTTACTGAAGGTTTCAGCAGAAAGTAGTGAGGAAAAGCAAAATCAGAGCAGTCAGTTAAGGATACAGACAGCTAAGCTGCCTGAACCTATTGCTTTACACACATGGGTCAGGTTAACACTGACTCATCAAGCAGGTTTAAATGACAGATCACAACTTCATTTTTGCAAAAGTATCGTATCTAAGCATATCCAAAGCCTCTTAAATAACTGTTGTTTGCCATTTTGTTCTTACCTGTTTAATTCTCTGAGCATTTTGTTCTTGAGAACTACAGTAGTTGATCAATACAAAATATTCTGAAATATAAAAAAATAATATTATCATATTACTAATAACATTTTCAATTGAGGAACTTTCACATTTCTGTAAGAGAGCCCATGTAACTACGACATCTTGTTCCTGTGCCTCTTAAGCCTTCTAACATTTTCTAGAACATCATCTGGCCTCCAGACCTCAGATAAAGTGTTCAGTACCCAAAACTGGGCAAACCAGTCAGTTCACTGCATAGGATTAGCCACAAAGTGTTTGGGTCTTAATGGCAAGAGATGAGTTCTCAGTCTTCTGCAGCTTCTCCTGCTTGAATACCCACATTGAATCTATATATCCCTGGCATTCTCAGGGCTAAAGGAGCATGTGTACACCTGTGCAAGGTTGTACATACTGGCATAGCTATAGATTCATGTACATCTCCTTCCTGTCTCTTAGAGGAGCATTCCTGCATCTTCTGTCCTGCAGCCAAGATGGGACATCTGTTAAACCATTACCCAGACCTGGCAAAAGTACTATTTTAAAAAGAATGTTATGGCACAAGCAGTGGAGTGCAAAAGTCATCACAAACTATGGTCCCTGTGGGGCTCTAGCCATCTGCTTGCTAATTATGTATACCACAGCCTGGCTATTGCACAGAAAACAAACTTTGCTGCTGGCAGATTCGTTCTGCCATATAATTGCTGTGACTGGCACAGGCAGAATTCCAGGAAAGTTATGTCTTTTTCTGCCCATTGCTGTTGCCATTTTTGTGTGTTCCCCCTTGAAAGGATCCACCTGTTCTTTCTGCCTCCTTGTACCTTGTTCTAGCCTTCTCTGCCTTTCCCAGACTGTGCATATTTCTATCTCTCTGACAGTTAAAGTACATCACATTACCTAAGACATGTTCATTATGTGGTGAGAACTTCATATTAAGCTAAGGTTGATATAGCAATGAAGTATTTAGCATCTTTGTGCATATTGAGCTAGTGTTGATATATCAGTGTGTAGTTAGCAACTTTTATGCAACCATAAAAGTCATCTTTGTAATAAGGAAGATACATTCACTGCCTGGGGAAATGAAGTGTCAGATTAAGATCTCAAGATCTTAATCTTAATCTTAAAGAATAAGATCTCAAGAGGTGACAGTTAATTCTGAGCAGCCAGCACTTCTTTGTGGTCAAATCTCCATGAAATACCAGGTTTGTACTCATCAGAACTTTTCTTTCCTCCCCACTGCTTTTGCCTGTCTGTGAATAGCTCTCCCCTCTGCCAGAGTAGTTGTTAACAGGGGACAGTCCACTGCGTTCATCTGTTACAGACAGGCTTGAGTCAGAGCAACCTGTGGGAATGAGCACTGAGGCAATGTCACAGGCTGTTTGGGCTGCTGTTGCACTGCTGGCTAGTTATTCTCTTGCACAGAGACACTAACGGGATGAGTTTTAATTAATGAAAATTGGGTGCTATCACATGCAGCAACTGAAAAAAAAATGGTGAGGATCTAAACCTCTCTGTGCCTTGGGGGAAGAGAATATGGACATCATGCTTAGATTTATGTATATTAAAAGAAGCTACCTGTTGTCATAATAATTTTTGGTTTCAAATGATATATGAAGATTATAAACATGTCTGTGTGAGTTACACACTCAACTTCATACCCTACTTAATAATTTCTGCAGGAAGAGGAGTCATTTCTTATTCATGGTACTTCAAGAGAATTACATTATATTTGTCACATCCCAAAGTTTCTACCGGCCCAGTCATCAGTGTGTTCTTATTTATGAATGGATACCCACAACAAATTGATTAATCATGTTCTCCTGTTAGAGCTCTGGGAAGTTCATTTTGTCCTTCAGAGTGGTCATCAGGAGAGCCTGGGACTATTCTATGATGCAATGAAGATTCTGATATGCTTCTGTCTTCCATAGTGGCCACATTCAATCACCTTGAAAAATTTGAGAGCATCCTATATAAACCAAGCTGTTTCTCTAGTGAAGACCTTTTCATCGCTCTGATAAGAGTAAATTAAACTATATTAGGAAATGGCTGGGACTTGGGTTGTGGCTGACTCTAAGGTAAATTTGTGAAAATTGCCTCTGTTATATTTTTGCCCCAGGCGAGTCAACAATATGTTGAAATGCCCCTAGGCATGGCTGAAAAATTAGCACAGGCCAGATGCTGTTTGTTACAGGCTGTGTAACTATGCTCATCTGGATTTGGAGATCTCCAGTGGTATAGATGAAATCTGTAGTGTTTCACCCACCTTTAATTCACTCTGCAGAAGCAGCTTTCCATTTCAGGGACTCCAAGATACATAGACAAGCTCCACCATATTTAATCAGTACCTTGTACCAGAGAAGAGCATGCATCCTTATCTTCCATGCATGCCTTGTGAATAAGAAGTTCTTTTAAGTTGTGATGACTTTGTTGAAAACTAGAAAAAGGAGTTGGATATCAAAATCCTGAAAAATTGCATAGTATAATATTACAGTAACATATATATGTGTTTTGAGGGCATTAATGAGTCCAATGAAATAAGGTTAGAACTCTTGTTGGGAGCACATGTTGCCAGGGTGCTACAGCTGCAAAAGCTGCTTCCCATGAAAGGACATCTCACTCAAGTGTTTATTCCTCATTAACACAAATTTTATTATTTCTCAAGGGAACAGTGATCCTCCCAGTAGGCAAACAATTCTGCTGCCAAATACTATTGATCTGAATTGAGCATAGATTAGGTTTTTTCTGTTGTTGAAGAAAGGGCTACTTTGTGCATCTGAAATCAACTGCATACCTGAAAAAGGAGGGGTAAATTGTTAGAGAAACCTTACATAGACAGTTTTCTAACCATGGTGCTTACAATTATACACAGAAGTGTCGTGCAGGTTTCCAGCAATGAGCTGATCTGCCAGACAAGAAAGACCTCATCCCAGATTACCTATAATGAAACGCCTATCTACCATTACACACCCTGCAATAAGCTGCTGTGTAAAAACCAGCCAGGCGGGTGGTCATGGACGGAGGATGCCCAGGCAGAGCTCACCTCTGCCTGTGGAAGAGCAGGGCCAGGAAGCTGGGCAGGAGCAGGGGAAGGGCAACAGGTAGGTGTTGCATACCAGTCTGCAGGAGGAGTAATGAGTACATAGGTGGGGAGGGTTAAATTTGGTGTTCTTTCTGTCAATTCTTGGGTTTGTTCTCCTTCTCACAAAGAGCTGGTGTGACAACACTGGACACTGGGACCCAAGGGACTTGTATGCAGGACCCCGAACTCAGGCAGGCCTAGTGGGTCAGGACCCTGTGGAGGTTTTCCTTCTTCCTTCTTCACTGCACACCCTTGTAACCACTTTAAATTTTTAATTGTATTTTTTGCTATTTGCAAGCTATGTTTTATTTCATCTCCAGGGTCGTTTAAATCCAGTACAGCTCATTTTCTTATACCTTTTTCTGCAGAAATGAAAATTTGCTCCCTATAGGTTATTTTTTAAAGCGTGAATATTCAACCTCTTACAGTGCCAATCTTAAGCACTTTCACAGAACAAACCAAGTACCTTCTCTCCTTTGATCCTCACATGGTTAAAGCTCACTCACAGTTTGCTGATCTCAGAAGTGGATGTGATGAATTTGTAGGAGAATTACCAATTCCAAGTATTGACAGCAGGTCTTTTTTTTTCTTTCTTTCCTTTCTTTCCTTTTTTCTGTTATCCCATGTTTATTATCCATAAAATGTATTTCCAAAGACAAAACTTTATATTTGACTGTATTAGTTTGTTGGGTTTTTTTTAATTCTATATCTATTTATTTAATATCTATATCTATTTATTTATTTAATATCTATTATTAAATAGTATATATCAGTTCAGGTATGAGGACTTCAATAAAAAATTTATTCTTTTGTTGTCTGTGTCCATGCATATATGTGTGTATGTATATATTTTTTATGTGTGTGTATATACCAATACACACACATACTCTTCCATGTTCCTTCACTGATTTGGTAACCTCAGCTTATGATTCACAAAATATTGATTCTTATTAATACTCATTTAAATGTGATTGGTTTCATGCATGCTACTAGCTACTATTTAATGGTGCATGGTTATTAATTCTTATGTGCCTTTTGCATCTGAATGTTTCAACATAGAAATAAGAAAGCTATATCATCTCCTGTTTGTTCACTTTGAGAGTTTTCTAAAATGTACTTTAGCTACAGAATGCTTCAAACTCACAAGGGCGTTAAAAACAACAGTTCAAGATTTTTGGAACCTTGACATGACGTCAAATAGCCAAGATGTTTTTTTCACTCAGCCATAAGGCTCACTTGAACACTAAATATTCCAGAGAGTAGTGCTTTGTGACCTTTTAATATCAGCACTCATGAAGAATGTTTCATTTAACTTCTTCAGATCATTTACTTTCCTGATTTGTGAGAGACTAATGGAAATTTGGAGATTAATTTGGAAGCATACTCATTTGCCTGAGTGAATATGAACTTGGATGAAACAGTTCAAGAGTAACTCATCAGAGTTAAAATGTGGTTTTCAATTAACAAAATGTGTTTATAATGTAGGATGTGTCTAGTGAACAGTCCATTTAATGAGCTGGTGGCCATCTTGAGATCATCAAACATCACTGACTGTTTCCCTTTACTAGTTCTATTTTCAAACAGATAACTCCAAGTCCAGAATGATTTCTTACTGTGTTAATATTAACCATTGCCTTTATCCTTAAATTGATAAAAACAAATTATTAAAAATTAAATAATAAAGTTGAAAGTCAATGCCATGCTTGGGAAAATGCAACCTACCAGGCAGGTTACTAAAGCAGAACAGCAGAAAGTGTTTAAGTGTGAGGACGAATTCAAGCATTGCTCTCCAAGTGATTGCAACATTTGTGTGTACAGAAGGGCTTCCACATCACAACCATCTATAATGCCTCATTTTGGGCATGGTTTACAGCCTAAAAACTCTCTGAGGTTTTTCTTTCAGACAGTACAGAGAGAGAATAACACTCATCAGAATGGACTGTACCAACACTGTCCTACTGAGATATCTGACCCAGCTCAATAGAACAGCTGAGAACACACAACTACCATAAAACATTCATTATATAGCATTCACTCTGATCTGCAGGGCAGACTCTGTCTCCATTGATTCCCTGTGCTTCTTCCTTTACAGATGTCACCACCTTTTCTTGAGCACTTTGACTACACCACCTTTTTTTTTCTTTCAAATGATAGGTACAAGATGCAAACATTGTCACTGTCTGGATTTTCCAAGTAAGTTGGACCTGGGAGGCAGGAGGTCAAAGACATTGGTCCAGGTCCTAGTGGTATCAAAAGAGCATCTAAAGTAATGTATCCATTTGTCATGATTCCTACCATGGAAATATTTCACTGTAAAAGCAGGACAGAAACATCTGCCATCCTTTGAGTATGGTAATGAATCACTGTCACTACTTTCACTTCCCAGTTTTCCCTCTGGAATGTTAAATTATTTTGTGGATTTGTCCCTAACCATGCTGAGAACCTTATTCACAGCAGGCTGAATACTAAAAATTGTCTCTCATAATTTCATTATGTGGTCAGTGGTTTTGTTTTGCTAATTCCATTTCTGTTTTCTCCTAAGTTACAAAAGATCATCTTGTTTGTCGCCCTGAAAACTCAGTTTTCTGAGCTTGCTAACATAGTTTTCTAAAGACTTTCCCAGGACAGTAACTGTAAACATAGATATGTGTACATTCTTTCTGTTACACGTCTTGTGATGGACATATCTCATGGCCAGTGTGGTTGGGAAGGTGTTATCCTGACTATCCAATCCCTGGCCATGGTCAGAAACCTGTAAATCCTGAGAGAAGAAATAAAGCTCTCTCTTCCTTTCACCACACCTCAAGCTGTGTTCGTGTGACCTATTTAATCTCCAGCAGCAATACTTATTAGCATTTGATCAGCTTTAGAACTACTTGACATACTTACTGACCACCCTTAAATCCAAGACATAAACTTCACCATATGAAACTGCAGTGGTCTCTGCAAGAAGTCCATGCATTGGAAGAAGGCAGAAAGTTCATCATTCAGCTTGCAATTAATCTGTCTAAAAGAGTCTGAGTTTGGTCTGAAACTAGTGCTCTGTGAAGATGAAAGATTAATTTTCTGTCTCATTTTAAAATAAAAAGTTTTTGTGATTCAAGCCACTGAATTTCAGACCTTCTATAGATCTTAAAAATTATTCATCTGTTCCACATCCTTTCACATAAATCATAATTTTCTCATTAGTTAAGGCAGAGTTTTCAAACAGTCATATACAGGATTTGCATGCATTCAGACACAAGAAACTGAGTAGGCTCTTCTCTGCCGTTAAGTTTATCTTTACATAGTTTTGTTCTGCAAGTGGGGTTACTCCAGAACAACAGAACATCCAAGGGATTCTTCCTGTAACTGGTTTTCAATGCTTGCTTGCATGATATAAGACATCAATTTGGGTTTAAATCAACATTTTAACAAGACGCTTTCATGTCTATTGATGTCACATTCCACCTTCTACTGAGAAAAATAAATTTAGGACATGATTTCAGCATCATACACTGACCAAATCCAACTTGATCCAACATGTCCAGATAGATCCCTCTGCTGAGCGTTTCTGCTCTGCAGCAGATCAACACTCTCACCCAAACTGGTTTGATCAGCAAACTGACTGAGGGTGCCATCAATCCCCTTGTCCAAATGACTGATGAAGGATTGGCTCAGCACTGACCCCTGGGGAACCCCACCAGTGACTGGCCATCAACTGGATGTGGCAGCATTCACACCCCCCTCTGGGCCCAGCCATCCAACCAAACAAAATAAACCCCAACAAAACAGAAAACAACACCACCAACAACAAAAAAACCAAACATGTGTTAATGCTAGGAAAAGCCTGTAAAAAAAGGATAAAAAAAATTACAGCCATAGTTAATTTGTGATGCAAGACTCCCTGTTGTAAATCTTTTACCTCATAGGCCTTAATATATTTTTAATTTCAAAAAATTGTGACAATATTTCTATGAACTTAGATGAAATTTTTTACCAGACACAAGCTGTTTCATGGTATAGCTTTATGTTGTCTAAATAACAGTACTTTTTTGTTTGTTTTCAGCCCGTATGACCTTTAGTTCTCTACTGGAATAGACAATGAATGATTGTTGTCTATTCACCTTCTTCATCCCATTTCTGACTTTCAGACACCTCTACAAGATCTTCTCTAGCTAAAGAGAGTAATAGCAAAAAAAAACCCCTTTCCAATAAAATTAAATTTATTCCAGAAGAAAGCTAAGTATTTTGAGTAACTAGAAGTAATGGCATCATTGTTACCCAGATAAATTGATCTTTCCCAGTGAACTACTTTTATTTCACCCTTTTCTTGCCTCTTTTGACTTCTGATATTTTGCTTAACATATTAAAATGAGGCTTATTGCTTTTGCTTCTATGTTGTTAAGCTGGAACTTCAGCAAAATTGCTTCTGTTGAAGTATTGTTCAACAATATCCACTTTTTGCCTCTTCTCTTGCAAGAGTGTTCTTAGAACTCTAAAACCCAGGAGAGATTAGAAACTAATTTTGCTGTTATAGATTAGACATCCATATTAACAGTGTCCTTCACGCTTTGCTAGACCCCAGGATTGTCAATAAAAGCTACAAAATGGTGTAATCTGCTATCAAAAATAGCTCCTGCAGCAGCACAGATTTGTGTTGGAGGTCTCATTCTAATCCAATGCTTGTAACAACTGATGATGCCTCAGAGAGCCTGGCACGGCTGCAGGCTGTTACAGTGCAAATGCAAATTGTTTTGAGATTATAGAATTGTGTCTGCTTCCTGTATCAAACATCAGTTGCAATTGCATAATATTTTAAGTATGAGATAATTTTTCTAAATACCATAGTAGGTTTACAGAAATTCATTTATGTGAGTAATCTGAAATTCTATTGCCTTGAGGTATTTCCTTGAACAGAATTTATCTTTTTATCCTCAACTCAAAGATTTATTTTATAGGTCTTTAACTTTTAAGAACATAGATACAGCACCGGTCTTCATGTGCAGATTTAAATATTGGGAATATAGCAAATTGAAC